TGTGGAAGGACATACAGACATGAGACACTACAGCACTGAAGCTGAGTGCACCCTGAATATTACCTGATGAGCCATGTGTTTCGGGACTGGCTGCTCTGCAGCCTGGTACATGACAAGTGTTACACAGCCACAGCCAAGTTACTACCACCCCCCAAGGAAATCAAGCCCAACAGCAGCAGATCCCAGCTAGGGCACTGAAAAGCCCAACTCTTCTGAGCAGTTTTCAAAATCAGGAGGCTTCCAGGTCTACTCTCCAGAGGCTTTGGGTTTTACACTTGTGATTTAACCTGCAGTGCCAACTGGCCACCTGCTTATTTAAAGCACTAATTTAAGGCCAGTACTTCCTGCCACCCTGCTGCCAGTTAGTGTAACTAAAAGCACTGTTGCTTTTGGTTTTTAGAGAAAATACTTCATCCTGGCTGTCATACACTGGTGCTGTTCTGTGAACTCTAAGGGCAGAAACTGTGCCCTGTATTCATGGCAGTGACAGGATCCTGGAACTGGTGATTGTTTTTCACATCTGAATCTTTCCCCAGGCAGTGCTGGCCAAGAAGCAAGATATGTGGAAAGTATGATCTTAGGTTTATGCCTAGCAGCAGTTGCAGTCTGTACTTCAGTAGCAAAGCCGAGGCCTGAAAGGAGCATGGGGAGAGACCTGGTTGCTCTTCACATTTGCAGCCAACACACCGTTTTTCATGGGCTAAATCCCTCTGGTGGCAGGAGTACTTCAGGTACTGCCCAAGGTTTGTCTGGCCAGCTGTGGACATCCTGGGCTCACTTTACAGCCTGTGCAGAGACAGAGGCACATCTGGAAGATGCCATCTCATCCTTACCTGGCCTTGTAGGATGATGCAAGTCACACCCTTGCAGTGCCTACTTCTCTGCTTGGCTGTTGGAGTGGCTGGGCTCCTTGTGGGCATCTCCACTGCCAATCTGAGCAGCATGGAGGGTGTTGAGGCCGGGGTGCACGGTTGGAGCCTCACTTCTATCACGTGTGACCAAGCCTTTAAAGGAGAACATCTTGTTCTGTGGTTCCAAAACATGGTGGTGTTACTGGAGACAGGCAGTCCTGGGCGTGGCTGATGTTTTACCTCTTGAGTAAACTTCTGGATCCTGCCAGCAGCTTTAGCTTTCTCAAGAATTATGGGTTTCTCATTCTCTCTTCTGGGATGATGCAAGCCTAACAAGCTTACACCTCTAATTTTGTTCCCACCCATCAGTCTCTCATCAATGCAGACTGTCAGGAGCTGTCTCACACCTTGTTTTCTGACAGCATCTAGCACAGCAAGCTCTCAGCATTGACTGAACCACAACACACTTTTGAAAACATAAAATATAACACACAAATTTAAAAGAATGTCAATAATAGTACCTTAAAGAAAAGCATATGAGTGGGAAACTTTTGTGTCCAAAACAGATTTAAGGTGTGAAAGAACTGTTATGACTCTGACCAACTGACAATCTGTAAAACAAAGGCCAGTAAAACTGAAGCATCAATTCTTTTAACATACTTGCTATTGTGTTAAAAAGCATGTCTTGATTTAAAGAATAAAAATGTTGGAGCTTTCAGCACATCTCTAAATAACTAATTCTGATAGTTAGCCCTCTGCACTACATTTCCTTGCACTGCTATTCTAAATCAATTCTACTTCAGCTGTCATTGAACTTGTTTCTAACAGCCTGAAGATTAAACAAGATCTCTTGAGTCTGAAAGCTGTGATAAAGTGCCAAAGGATGTAGCCTCTAGATTTTATTAATTTAATTCTGTCCCTGTCCTAAAGGTCTTATGGCCCAGAAAGCAGTATATGTTTGGGTGCTTCACCATTCCCAGTCACCACCCTCTCCCTCTGACTGTGCACCACAGACAACCTCCTCCATCATTTTATGTCTCAAAGCTCCCCATCTTTTTCTCTTCTGATTTCAGCTGACACCACTTTGAGGCATCCACTGGCTGCTGTGGACAGAGACTGCAAGTGTGGCCAGGAGGAAAGGCAAGTGAGGAAGGAGAGTAGCCAGATCAGCACCCCAGGCAGTTTGAAGCAGTTAGTGGCCTCTCACTGGCCCATCATTGATTGTCAACGTCACGGCAGAAGGTGAGCAATGAAGTGGGACTGTCAGTGGTGGACCATTTATTGTTCTTCTCCTTCCCTGGCCCTTGAATGCCTTAGTTTTAGCACGAAAAGTGTTTAATTCCTGCTTTTCTTCCTAGCTCAGCACTGGGATCCTTTGCCAGGTCAAATTTTTAAGCTAATTTTAAAAAGAAGCTCTTTCCCCATGAGGGAGTGAGGAGGCAGATGTGCTCTCTGACATGCCATGGCATGTCTACTGGCACTGCTGTGTTCCACGTCCAGTCTTTGGTATCCTCACTGAATCAGATGGTGTCTGTCCAGTGGGATTGCTTGTCCTTGGAGACACTTTCTTCTTCCTTTCCTTCTCAGAAGAATGGGACAGTCACATATAGCACCAGGGTCCCACCGAGAGGTCATGGTAAGAGACAGGAGATCAGGCCTGGAAAAATATTTGGAGTCAAGAATGTTTTGAAAGCCTAGACTAGAGGGGTCAGGCATGCGAGGAGAAAGATTAGCTATTTGTAACAAATCCAGTGTCAGCCGTGTGAACAGAGACAGGACTGGAGCCACAGTGTGGGAAAGCAGGCAAACAAGCCCAGCAGCTTCTTGGTGGCTTCTTGGTTTGGATGCTGGCATACTTTTCCAGTTTGTTTTGCAGGGAGGTGTTCTTTTCTTTGAGGCATTGATCTTGGTTCTTGAGACTCCTGGGGAAGGGGAGGATTTGTCATTTGTGTCAGGTCAAGGAAGATGGACAGCTTTCCTCAGCTTGTTCTCATCTCACTTGACCCATCACGATCCACCTCTTGGGTTTCCTCATACTTCTTTTCCATCCACGGGCTGATGATGGCACCCAGTCTCTTTAGTAATAGTGACGTTATCAAAACCAGAAAAAAATACCCAGCTCCACGTTCAAGGGTCACAACAGCTACCTTAAATTGGATAGAAACTGGAGAGGGGCCTCACCTAGAGAGAAAATGGTACTGGGAGTAGAGGAGTGGAGCTCCGTACTGGTTTCATGTTGATGCTCTTCCTAGGAGATGAGAGCCTCAGGCTCTTGGCTTTCAGGCTGAGTCAAGGGTTATCTGTTCCCTGGTTAAATGCAGAGCCAAACAGGCAGACAGATCCCAGTCTCACAGCCTGAAAGGAAAGAGCTACTCAGAGTTCCCAAAAAGCAGGTAAGAAGCCCTTGAAGCTTGGAAGACAACTTGGGGCTGTGCATCCCAGTGAGACAGAGGTGCTGTGTTGAGGGAGAAGGTTGATACACAGGTCCAGAAGAGAGGCAGGAAGTTTCCTGTTGGAAGTCATTAATGTGCTCATCTTGAGACACCTCATACTGCGTTTTCATTGGATTGGAACAATGCTAATCCTGGGGTAGTGCGTGTCCGCCGTGGAGTGGGGTGCTCAAAGGCATTGCCTGGCCCAGGTTTGCCTGGGGAGCAGGGCTTACCATGCTATTTTCTTCTGCTGCACAGGTAATTGCAAGCCTGGGATCAGAAGAACATTTAATAGCTGAGATTTGGCTTCAGTTCTTGATTTCCCAGGAGCCTTTTAACATCCAAGAAAGTGACGCTTTAAGCCTGTGTTTTGGAGCTGCAGCCTTCAGGTCGGGTTGTATCTGTGCTTTCATTTCCATAACCTTTCCTGAGCATGACTAACTCTTTCTGTCAGGGCTGGGTAATCAGGCATCTGCCTGGACCCAAATCAAGCCCACTTACTACATTTCCTGTTGTTCCCCAGCCTGTCCAGCCCCCTCCTCTGTCTCTCCCAGCTGATAACACCACAAGAAGAGGTGCTGCTGTATTTCCCTGCCTAGTACCTCTAAAAGTCATCCCTGAGAAGAGCAATGATGGCCTTAGAGTCCAGTCTATATTTAGAGCTTTAGAGGCTCCTTCTCTGACCTAGGGCAGACACTTCACCACCACCCAGTCCCATTTCATCATCTGCAATATGGATTACTCCCACCTTGTCTGCAAGGCACTTGGGGGTTGGTAGCACTTGGAAATGTTTGCTTGGAAATCACTTTAACAGTGTAAACCAGCTTTGTCTGAAACAGACCTGTGCCCTATTGACACCCACAATTTTTTAAGGTTTTTGCAACACAACTGATCATACTTTACTTCTTGAGTGGGAAACAGCACATTTTCTTGACTCTGAGGAACTGCTCTTTGGCCTCCTTTCCATCCTCACTATTCTGAAAACACTAATTTTCCAGTCACAGAAGGAATGCAGCCTTTACCCAGCAGCAGCTCTGGTGATCATAAACTCAGAGGAGCAGTTTAATTCTCCTTTAGCTTTTGTTTTGCTTCGGTTTGTGTTTTGTTTTGGTTTTTTATTTGCTGGTTTTACAGGTTTGGTTAAAATATTTAGAGATGGGTCTTGATGAGGGGTCTGTGATCCAAGGGTCTTCTTCCTTCTGTCTCTTGTCAGTCTCTCCTGAGGGAGGGTCTGAGGTGACACTGCTCCACGGGGGGGTTTGAGATGCTTCCCAGAGAGACAGGAGGAGAATTCCTTTTGCAGATGCCTCAGCAGCACGTGGCTGGCGGCAACAGTGGCGACAAAAAAAGGGGCAAAGCGGGTTCCCAGCAGTGCCTGTGTCCTGCCACCTCTCCCCCTTTTCCTTCTCTCTCTCCCTCTCCGCCTCTCTTAGCCAGGCTCATGGCTGGGGAGGGCACCTAACCCGTACCTCGGGGCGGTGAAGCCGGCTTTGCAGCATCCCCCTGGCAGCCCCGGGAAGGTTTCTGGCTGCGTCAGCCAAAATTCCTGCCGGGGACTGCTGCAATGCAGCAACACCCCACCCCCCGGCTCCCAGCCCAGCCCG